CAAATGACATTTTTCTTATCATTTTGTTTGTGGTGTCGGTAACTAAAAGCGTTGGTTTGGACCGGCTACCTCATATATTTATTATATTTTTTATGACATAGCCTACTATTTGTTTGTTTTGTTTGTTTGTTGCATGCTGTATGCCTCTAAGCTCAGAAAAATGAAACTTTATATTGCATGGTTAAATTAAATGAGTAAATAAAATACTCTGGCTACCATAAATACCATATACCTGTACTAGCATCTGTAAAGCCTTGAACACTAAACAGATAGAAAAACACATTATAAAAATAGTTTGAGATAACCTGAAATGCTTTCTAACCTCGCACAATTCATGAGCCAGATTATTTGATGCACAAACAGGAGAATTAAACCACACTCCTCTGAAGGAGCAAAAGTACATCTGAAAGTCTCTAAGTGTAACAGGTAAGCTGTTAGGATCAGGCGGATTTCGATGTAAAGCAGGGGATTGTCCATGTTGAGCAGATCACAGCAGGCACACAAGGCAACCTTCACTTTCAAAATATTTAAAAACGGCCATTTGAATCCATCACATACAGGATGTTTAGACTTTCTTAGCTATGTTTGTGTTCAAAGTGAATGGATGAAATATAAACTATATTTACTGCTTGGAATTAAGGTAAACTGTCGTCAGCCACAGTTGTGTCCTCTGCAGGTTAAAGGTCATCTACAGTTTGTTACTAGGGTCCTTACTAATGATGAGCATATTCACAGTCCACATAGGAAGGAAAGTATCCTTGAAAACACTTAAATCTCACGCTTAAAATCTAAATAGAGAAAACAAGAGCCTAAAAGATGAGCAACTACTAACTTCCATACATTACATTTTGCCCGTGAATGATGAAGAAGAAGATCAACACAAAATCAGGGGGAAACAGCACATAAGTCATATTGTGATTCACACTCCCATGAAATGCATTGTTTCTGTCTTTGTGTTTGCATTCACTGTCTCCAGATGTAATTGAAGTGCAGACACAGCAGCCCTAGTTCTTGTATCCCCAACAACTGAAAAAAACAAAGATAGCACCATGCTGAACCTGTCTTTTTCTCACCACATGTTGTGTTTTCCAGGTTTGCATCATGACCAGGTAGAAGTTGAAAGCAATGGGGTTTTTCCAAAAGCTTGGCCTCCTGCTCTGGAAGAACATCACATACCGCAGGAGGAACAAGGTAGCCACATCTTCGCTTCAGAATAAGATATATAACAGTTTGCGGATTCTATAGAGAAAAATATCATATGAAACTCAGCTTGGATATTAAATATATAAATATTACCATTGTCTAGAACAAATGAACTAAAACGGGACCTTTAGATGGTTACAGCGCTTGCCAAATAACCGCAACATACTGGACTAGATTCCAGCCTTTAGTTGTGTTACGTGACTTAAACCTGTCTTTCCCCCGTTTCCAGTCTTCGTCTTAGCTCTCTGCCTGTCTCAAAGAAACTCCTATGTCTGAAATGTAATGAAAGATTTACAACTATCTTTGTCAGTTACTAGGTCACAGGGTTGGGAAATACTCCTGCTGATCTCTCTGATAGAGGTCACTAAAGGTGGGATTAGTTACAGCCTCCATGTTTTCCTTGAATGCAGATCCAGCTGATCATTGAGCTCCTCTGGCCGCTCTTCCTCTTCGTCATCCTCATCGCTGTTCGCCATTCACACCCTCCCTACAAACAGAGCCAATGTGAGTCTTATTGTTTAATGTATTTTCAAAAACACACACACACACACACACACACACACACACACACACACACACACACACACACACACACACACACACACACACACAATCAGATAAGGCAGGATTAACTCAGTGAGAGTTATTCTGCGGCACGCACACACATGTGTTTTCCTAACCTGGCGTTCTTGACCTTGTATGAGAAGTCGGTCATCAGTTGAAGGTGATATAACGCGACATGGTCAAACAATTGAATGTGACACTACACTACATAAAACAATATAAGCCTGTCGATTAATATCTTACATTTTCTCTGACCCATAAAAGGTTCCTCTTGGTAACTTTAGTTTTGGAGAAAAAGTAAAATTTCCAATAAAAAATTGGGAACATTTAAGGAATCTTGAGATTTCTACTTTTAATTATTCTAAGCACAACAAGTATCTTCTAATGTTTACTAAAGTCCTATGCTGATTGAATGTATTCCAAATAAAGGAGTGGACAATATTTTTGCCTGTGAGCATAAAAACTTTGAATGTATTTTCCTAGAGATTTGCATAAAAAATAAGAAAATGCTTCCATCTGTAGTTTAAAGATAATTACATTGTAATTTCATATTATTTGTTCGAAAGAAACACAATATTTGTTCACATAAATAGTTTGCGTTTTAGGATCATTGGTCAGTCCGCTGCCAGTAGTTTGTGTTTTTAGGTCACTGCCACACTGTTTCATTGTTCTGTATCTCAAGCTAATCTCTGGGTTCTTTTCCTTCACTTGTAGGTCATTTTCCAAACAAAGCCTTGCCGTCGGCAGGCACCTTGCCCTGGATCCAGGGCATTATCTGCAACATCAACAACCCCTGCTTCCAAAGCCCGACCCCGGGGGAGACAGTGGGACAAGTTGGCAACTTTGACAACTCCATGTAGGTAAAATGGAGGTAAAAACACGGACAGTTGTCTGGAGTGGTGGAAGCTAAAAAGATAATCAGACACACTTTAATTAGTTACATGTTCAAATTAAAATTGTAAAATCTGCGTCATTCACTTTGACTTTTGTTTATGAGGTATGAAAAAGCTATAGATCAGACTGCATGCTGCTGCAAACACTTTACTGAAGATTTGTAGTGAGGGGGGCAGCCACTGTTAAAAACCCACTCCATTGTTTCTTAACTGTTGCCTGATGATTAACAGATGAGACAAATCTTTGAGCAAAATGATAGTTTATCATTGTAGGAAGTCATAAACTGGAAAGATCCAGTGTTCGAGCATCTAAGAAATGTGTTTACTTAGTTTCAAAGTTTGATATGTTGGGAAATATGAATAGTGTTATTCCCTTTGTTAAAGACAATATGATACAAATATAGACACTGCTGTCATGTCCGAATGCTAAATATAGCACAAAGGTTTTGATCATGCAAGAAACTAAGTCCAACCATCCATCTTCTCCCGCTTATCCGTGGTTGGGTCGCGGGGGTAGCAGTTCCAGCAGAGAGCCCCAAACTTTCTTTTCCCTGGCCACATCAACCAGCTCTGACTGGGGGATCCCAAGGCGCTCCCAGGCCAGCGAAGAGATATAAAAAGAAACTAAGTTAAAAATCAAATACAATACGCCCATGTCAAAGGAGACAGTTCAGCCCAAATCAAAAAGGGTGTAGGGTCACTTGTTATCT